ATGTTTCAGTGTTCCAAGAATCTTACATCCTCGAACCTGCGATTTTCCGAAAAAAGTTACATGCGGGCCCGTCTCGAATGGTACTTACACCAGGGAAGAGCATTTATCGTGCGCCAAGGAACAAACTGAAAGGAAGAGAAAGACAAGGTATGCCGAAGACGACGCCAAAGCCATCGTTACTCAAAATAGTTCCATCACCGTGCGCGGCGTAAACGTTAACTTTCTTTCCCCGGGAAGGGAGAAGAAGTAAACTCCTATTCTTCCCGGGCAGCGAGGTGAGACGAGACGAGCGAGGACAAGCGGAGCCGAGGCGAGCAACCGCATTTACAACGATAAAAGATGAATGCGTCGCAAAAAGGGATCGCAAAGTTTAAAAGTGGCGCTTTCCATGCGGAAATGTATTTACGGCGGGGGCCAGGGGCCGAGGAAATCGAAAGAAGAGCATCGGGAGGAAGCAGAAGGCCTCGTCGGGGGAACCGAGCGAACAGGAAGAGGAACAAGAAGAGACAGATCGATGCAACGGCTCGTATAGTAGCGTCCATCGTTCGCTCGGAAGCGATGGGAAAATAGAGGAATGTAGCGGATTGTATATCTACAGAAGTTGGAGAACATAAAATGATCTACAATTTAGAATGATCTGTTTCCAACTGTTAAACGAGAGTTGTTCTGCGATGATTTAAAGTGCCATATCTTGGTACTCAGCTGGGCCAAACGTTACCCTGAATGTATTTCTAGATTAATTATACAAGTTTGCTTGTTTAATTCGTATCCAAGAACCATTTTATAGCTACAAAAGCACAAGGTTTGCAATACAACAAAATGTGAAACAATAATTTTAATTATTGTTACAAAAATAACTTCAAATTTTCTGAATATAACGGAATCCTCCTCCTTTCTCATTACACCTAAGAGAATTCATTCCTTCTTTCACAATAATCACCAAACATCTGCATCCCTATATTAAAAAAATATACCAAAAAGAAGAAGAAATCTTCTCAGCTGCAATATTCGGCAAACGAGCATCCATTTCTCTTTACTCAAAAAAATAAAAAGAACATAATGTAACGTATTTTTCAACCCAGTCACCCTTCGCGCCATCCCCTTTCTCGTCTGGTCTCTTCTTAGACGGTAACCACAAGTGCCTGGCTGCGGGCGTTACTTCATTATCCAACGAAAGAAAAGCCGTGCACGCTTGTAAAGTGAATCGTATCTCTCCAATTAAACTTTTGTTGCCCGCGAACGATCGCCAAGACTCGCTCGTTTACACCGACGCCTTCCTCGCCGACAAACGGATGTAACCTCCTGTTTGGATTGTTGGGGGACCGTCTACGTTCTTGAAGGTGCTAGTGAAACGTGGAGTTACGTTCGCGGAAGCTGTAACACGGAGAGAAGGTTGAACGCTCTTTCGAGAGTCGTAATCTTGAGGCTTCTTCCGTGCCTTCTTTCGACGCTATTTTTGTGATCAACGATGGCGGTGAACTGAACCCTCGTAGTATTAAATTACCAGTCCGAAAGTTTAAGTACTTGTTAGTTGTGTCGATCAAGAACTCGAGACGACAATAAAACAATAACTTGCCACAAAGACTCCAAGTGTATATCTGTTTATAACAAAATCACTGCCTCCCTCCCCCCCCCCCACCACCACACACACACACATACACATACCAGTATTTACATTCCTTCTCGATGCAATTAAAACTATCACCTACAGTTTCGTTTGGCGAAAACACCGAACCGAAGAGCCTCAGACATATCAGTTTTTCGCAATGTGGCGCAAGGTTATGTCACCGTCTGCCAACTATGTATGTATGCAGCAACAAATCGTTTCAACGATAGAAACAGAGGCTCGGCCAGGACTCGACCGAGGAAGGAACTCGCCGATCGTTTGTTCGTCGCGCGGACCGACAATGTCGGACAAATTTAAATTGGTCCGGTAATTTTCAGCTTTGATGCTTGTCCGTGACACAATAATCGTCGGATCGGGCGTGTATCACCGCGGGCCAAGCGGGAAGACAGTGACAAATGGAGGTTAAAGAGGTGGACGAGAGAAACAGGCCACGCAACGTGGAGCACCTTGCCACTCGAATTTATTTCTGAACACCCTGAGGACGACGTCACTAGATGACCAGAATAGCGGGCATCTACGTCATGTCTGGGTAACCCCGAGCGAATTTCGAAGACAAACGCACGAGACGAGGAAGGAGGATACGATAGGAGAGGAAACGAAGATAGAATCGGAGGAATAGACACACGCTGCCTGGCAGAGGAAGCGATCGACACGCTGGCGAGCCGGAGGAATGCAGAGCTTCCACATGCAAAGATTATTGGCGCCAGTTTCCTTAAATATGGTAGAATCATCTCGATCCGATACTGGCGTTACTGATCGTTACACTAGAGAAGTACAGAGCAAGTGTCATATTCCGTCTTCATTCGTAACCCTTTCAGACCTGAATTATTTTTTTTCTCGTACTAATGTAATTTAATTTTTAGCCTTAGCTAAAATTAGTATGAGAAAAAAGAAAAAGAAAAATTCTAATAGTGTTTCCGATGAGAACTGCACTTTCTTCACGTGCACAAATAAGGGCATTTACCCTAAACGATAATGTCGGTAATTTTTAAATTTTGTGTCCTCAATTGTGGACGCCAAGTTTGAAAAGATTAAAGAGAAATCATCTAATTATAAATCATATAATCATTTAATTAATGCAACGGAGATCCACCAAATTTTTATGCAATTTCTGCATATGGAAACGTTGCAGAACAGAGAGAGGAGTGGACAGGATCAGGTACTCGAGGACACGAAGGACTCGCGACGAACGCCTGAACCGCGAAGAATTCAAGCGGATAAACGGCATAGTTATCGCCAATCCATTCGTCAAACACTGTCTGGGATTCTTTGCAACGCTAATGCAACAGGCGCTGACTGCGTCAAACTTTTAACGATGCCAATTTATTCGCTGAACTCCGTCTGGAATCCCGACGGTCTGACCGCCAGGTGTGTCCCAGCGGTTCGCGATGCCAATTTTTATCGGTTAAATCTTCAGTCTCGGGATTTTCCGTTATGCTAATTCGCCTGTCGAGAGCTTCCTAAGACTTACCACGGTGCCAATTTGCTCGCTGAATTGTGCTTGAAATTTTGGATCAGCTAGGCGTACACTCCGCGACAAGACGATATTGGACGCTTTTTATATTTTAATGTAGCACGTTTGAGATTTTGATGTTTACGATATTTTCTAAAAATCTAATCTGCTCGTATGAAGAACAAGTACCGATGACAGTTGAAAAGTCAAATTCTAATACGCTTTATTAAACCAACAATGAAACCCTTCTTTCCTGATAAAATGTGTATTTCTTGTACACCTGCTTTTAACATGTACCTTTTAATCTGAATAAACGGTACTATTTTGAAATCATAAATAATGTGAAATGCAAGTAACATAGGGGAGTCCGATAATTTTATCACGGAATGTACGGTCGAAAATCTTGACCGCGTCCGAAGGTTTCTGTGTTCACTATTCGTTATGTAAATTCGTCTCGCGAGCAATTTACTGGTCTCTTGCGATGCGTATGATCTTCGTATCGGATTCGTCGTGTCTAAAGTTTTGATTGGAGCTCTAAAAATTCTGTAAAAGACGTGTAAACTCCATCGCAATAAAAGTATAATAAGACAGCAATTTCTACGGAGTATTTCAACGCTTGCATCGTAATTTAATAGTATTATAGCATCAATTATTAATATGGTATTCATACTTTTTCGTACCTAAACTCCCTATTACATCATTACTCTAGTAGAGTACTGAAACATTTATTATGCTAATCTACTTATCGAGTTGTCCCGCGGTAACTATGTCTCTCACACACGTCCGTTGGATCTTGTGCATTAAACGTGTTAATTTATTCATAGGATTCTGTTTCAAATTTTGGACAGTATTAGTCGAGGCAGACGCTATTTTAAATTATTCGCTGCCTCGATCCAAAACATACCACGAACTATGCCAACCTTTTAATCTACTCGGTTCCGAATCTTTTTCTTTTCGCCTGCTGAATAATGTGCAATATTTAATGCGATAGACTTCGTTTATAAGTTAGCAAAACGAGCCACTGCTTCAGACACGAGGCATGTCGAGAACTCTTTTGCAATAAGAAGTTCGTCTGGCCTTGTATAAGAATAACCGACACAACGAAAAAGACCTCGAAAATCGCTACAAATCATATTTATTTGCAACATTTACGACACTTGTCAAGTTGTTAACTATTTCAAAACTATTCGAAACTTAATAAAATAAGAATGAAACAATTTCTCGCTAATTATGTCAATAAAAAGTTAATAAAAATTTTGTTTGCCTGGCGTTCAGAAATATGTAATTATTATACATTCTACTCATCCGAGCAGTTCATTCCTTGAAAGGCCCAGTTATTAGCCAGACATAAATCTGACCGTAGCAGCCTGCGAGAAACATTCCACCTATTCAGTTATTTCCTAATTAATTAGCTGATTTGGCAGTTGGAATTGCAACTCCAATCTGCAACAAATTCCAGGGAACGTGATACGATGTTATACTGAATCATGTAAATCACGAGTGAGCACAGAAATGGCAGTAGAAATCGCATAACTACTTGCACTAATGCCTAACCCAGTGAAACGCAATTTCGCGCACCCGAAATGCTCGTAAATCCCAGTCAGAGAATAATCGATATCTCGCCACCGTGGAATATTATTGGTTAATGCTTGTTTTTCGTCTACCTTTTAACATCGCGAACTAATTGTTAAAATACTTCAATTGTTCCAAGAACGCAAATTTAATATATAATTTTTGCAGTCTCGAACAAGTTATTGTTTATCTTTTTTATACCTTTCGGAACGTAAAACACACAATGATTTGTTTGAAATTACTGAAAACTATTCACCTTTAATACGTAAACAAGCAAGCTGTAATTATAATAACTATAATTACAGCTCCGTAAGAACATGCATTTATGAAATTATAAACACGCATTACCTGCAGTTTCCGAGTACGAGGGATACACGATACTTTTCATCGTAATTTTACGTTGCACCATGTACACGATGGTCCACAAGATAGAAATTACGGGAGCCCACATATTGAATTAAAAAAAAATAACACAGAGTTGGTCTCTTATACCAGTCTTTCAAAGAAGAAATATTTCACAAATATTTGCAAACTCTCCGCGTCGCTAAATAGTTTCTGTCGATAATCTCCCGAGTCTGATCTCAGGGATGCATCAGTCCCCTTAATTACGCTCTTGTCACACTTTCAACGTTTTCGAGGGATACTGAGGCTTGTTAGAAAGTGGGAAAAGTATCAAGGGAAAAGCCTGAGAGATCATCGACCGTAGTAGACGCGAAGTGGACTCGGCGAGACACGTCTGAAAAAATCTCGACGAGACACCCCAGATGTCGTCATACGTGTAGACGGCATATAGACAGCGGTCACATTTCCGACATAGTCATGCCGGTGTCGTCATGCATGTGCCACCGAACGTGCACGACATAAATCAAATGCCTCCGCAGTCTTCGGTTAAATTTCTAAAAAGTCTCTTGGTCGCCTCTCCTCGTTGTACCTTCGTTCCCCTCGGTTTATTCTTTTACGAAAACTCTATACCATCGCGGTGACTTGGGTGGATTTGATTGCTCTAGATTGTGTTTTGGTATGCTGAGGTTGCAGCTTTCTACCACATGTGTTTTTAATTTTGTTCTTCAGCTCAGAAGCGATCGTTTCCCTCGGTTAACTCGAGTCCAATATATTATATCTTTCTCCTTCGTGCTGACATCTCGCATCAAATCAATCGATCTAGACTATATTTTAGTACGTGAAGAATAATATGTTTTGTACCACCTTTTTTTAATTTCCTTCCTTGCCTTGGTAGCATCAATTATTATTTCGCAGGTGCGAGTTACTACCATCCCAATCGGAGCGCAACGACTATTTCGCAGTTACTTTTTCTCGTGCGCCGTGACACCGTGACAGAACTCGTGGTTTGTGAAAGATCGTTGGATAATTCTCACGATTATCCGGCTCAATTGGGAATGTACATCTCCAATTTCAGAGGCGACAATGGCGCGCGTTGGCGTCCAGCCAGCGCGCTTACTATTTATTTGTATTGTGACGCCTCTACACGTGGTGGCGGTTCGATGACACCTGACACGGAAAATTGTTCCCGTTGCGAGCCGTGATTTTCGCGTTTCCGGTCGTATGTCGAGCGTCGGGGCTTGTCGGCGATAATTCGTCGGAAAAGTGGCCGTTCCTCTTCGTCGCGTGTCCCCCCTGGGCGAAAAACACACGGAAAACAACGTTTCGCGCAGCTTTTGTCGCCCTACAGGCAAAAAAAACTGATTCGAGCGTTCGACTGACGCACCCGCGACATGCGTGGGCTACGATTCGAGAATCGACTGCTCGAACCTACCCTAAATTTAGCATTCTCGGCTGCCGTCCCACATTAGAAGAATCAACGTGTGTACATGTACGCGACTTCGAGTGTGTTTATATATATGTATATATATATACGCGTGTGCATTTTGTTGAATCGTGTGTCGTGTGTAACAGATACATCGGAACGAGTGAGCGTCGTCAGCGTCGTGTGCCCCACATGCAGATAACATTTATAGACAGGCGACTTCGTCTAAGTGACCAGTGTACACGTGTGTATTTTTCTCTGTGTGTAAATGTGGACGAGAAGTAATTGTGTAGGTGTACACAAGTGTGTGGTCATGGGTGGTAAAAATATCACCGTTCGTTGGGAAGAGGGAATGGACGTATGTTCTTTTTGGGGGAGGAACAATTAATAGAAGAATTCTTCGCTAGGAGTGAATTTTCAGACGTTTCGTGTAGTTTAACTTAGGCTCTATAAAAATTACAGACGTGCAGAAGCAAACTAAAGGCAGACGAGTGATTTCGACACGCGAATCGATACCACGAACACCCATCGCGGTCGCCAGACACGGTCTATCGATACTAATTGGCAACAACGACTGCTCATTAACGCCAAATATATCAGTCACTGCGATAGTTATATCGAGCTAACGATGTCCCGCGCGTGTTGACCCTCGTTAAAAATTAATGATGTTTCCCGGAAACTGGAGTGGAAAAATATTCCGGGTATTCGGCAACAGGTGTCAGAGACTTTAAGGGATGACTCTCTATATACCAAAATAAGACGAAAATCAAGATTAACGAGACTGTGAAAGTTACGCTAACGAAATTAATAATCTGAATTATCTTCCCCGACGAACAGAACCAGTTCACTGAAATTGAATGCAATCCAAGAATGAAAACGGAGCGGATGTCTTGATCAAGCGAGTGTTAATTATTGAAATTCACTGTTGTTAATCCGTGCAGATTTGCGTGCACATGGTACTGGACATTCCCCGGACACAATTAGGTTTACGACCAGACCGCGTTGAGCGTAGTGTGGGCTACGTGAATAATTCTATCAACTTCCCGAGACTCTGCCGAGATATTAATCGACAATAATCGGTGCAAATCCTCCTCCTGGAGTGCGAACACACTGACCATTAGTACTCGTAATATCATTGAACCGATTATGCCACGGGCTCGTGGCTTGTCTCGTTCCTTCAAATATTCCAGAGTACTCGAAACCCGTTGTAACCAACAAACTACATTAGCAAGACAGCTCTCCTATTTTAGCATAATTTTTACCATTTCATTCCAATATCATTAAACAGCCACAGGCAAACATTGTAAATATGCTGCAATATAAAGTGGATTTAATTTAAATACCAAAGAGGGCTAGAAATATAAACGTCTCTAATAAAATGCTCGTTAAGACATCGTGTGAAATTCAAAGCTACCAGAATACTTATCACCATAATCATGCCACGTTGTGGAATAATTTCTCGTACCGAAATCGACGATTAACGAAAAACGAGGATACTGGAAACTAGGCTGAGCTTCTTTTAAAGCAAAGGTAAAAAAAAAATTGGTGCATAAAAATGTTGCGTGCTTTGATGAAATGTAATCTTCCTTTGACCACATTTTTTTTCGCCACGAATGCAGCAACACATCACCAAAGCGCGCTCTCGGCGGAAGCGTGTAGATCACATGGTCTTGGTTCTTCAAACGGGAAGTTAAATGTGTTTCACTTGCAAGTATCTCGGAATATCCTTGGTTTTCATATTAACACTTTTCTACGAGGAACGAGGACTCGACTCGACGTACGTTACGTGACTCTGTTCAAAACGGAGTTCAGAGGCACTTTGCTGGCGCATTGTCGCCTTTGGGAAAAAGTCTAGTTGGAGCAAGGAAGATCTCAAGTCATGAAACATTTTCCTCTGTAAAATTACTCTACCTTCGACTCAACCCTGCTGTATCATCCAAAAAAATAATTCTGATCATAAGTTCTTAAAAACATTCTACAAGAAAAAAAGCAAGTGCAACTCTGGAATAATACAATCAAAATGAATTTTAATTTGTTAAAGCATCTCAGGTAAAGTGTACAATATCAAAAGATCCAATTAATACTCAAACCAAAGAATAAATAGCTGAACCTATAAGAAAATATCCTGTTTACCCCATAGAACTTGATCATTAATTAAATCATGTCTTTCCAAGCATTTTATTTTATTATTGTGCTCAAAAATAGAAATGAGGTGATCAATGCTGCCGGAATACAATCAAACGCGTTGCATACTTGATAGCAGTCGGTCCGACGCTGTGCGCAACGCGCTGATATAAAATGAAATCGGAGCAGATCGCTGCAACGCTGGCACAGTGTAAACTTAAACGCGAGTATCGCCAGGGACAATCATTCAGGCCATGAAAATTACCATGCAATTAAATTACAAAACTGTTACACCGGGCACAATGGGTACGTAAACGCGCGCAATTCCACGATCGACGAGATTACGCGTAAAGCATTTGCAACGATAGCGAACGAACGTTGAAGAAATTTTTAAAGCTCGACGAAACGTTAAACAATGGTTTCTTCGTCTCCGGTACGAATATATTACAGAAGATTTGTATAATAAATTTAGTCATTTTTTTATATATTTTATACAGCAGTCCATAGTTTCATGTAATTATAATTGAATTTACATGCATGTATTAATTCGATTCATGTGCTCTTTAATAAGCCATATAAATGTTCTATGTTTATTAAATGTAACTTGCGCCAGATTAATATAGAAATATCTCGTATAAAGGATTAATGTATCCACAATGCCTGGTCCAATTTGTGTTTAATATTGTAATGGCCGGATTAGCGCAATTATCTGTACATCATTGCTTCGTGCCACAAATGATGATTAAACTCTCTCATATTAAACGAATCGTGTTACACGTATTATGATTTCACGTTGGAATGGGTAAACTCTGCAATTAGAGAGCATGCTGGCCTTTCAAAGCATTTCTCGAAAACGTTCATAGAGTACATGGTAGACAAAGATACGATCAAAAAGCAAGTGCAACTCTGGAGTAATACTAGAGTAATAAGAGATCCAATTTGTTTTCAAGAAGATGTAGAGGATGAACAATTTTCTCTAAGATCAACACAGAAGAAATCACTTGAAACTACAGTCTTCGATAAGTCACCCTTGTTCAGGGAAAAATGAACGGAGCGCAGGGTAACGAGAAAGGCCAAAAGGACGCAGAAGAAGAGGAACGAAAGGGCGGAAAGTTGTAAAACGAGGAACGATATGCATACTGGGTTCGAACTCTAACATTAACGATCTCGGTTAACCCCTGCACAGACGGCCTCACGGTGGAAACCAATACCATGAAATATCTGCGAACTCCACACCAACCGGAAGCCACCGCGAATTGTTTTGCCGGAACTTCCCCAGACGGCGCGCAGCGTGCAGGTGCAGCTGCGAATAGGTATTCCTAAAGCTGCCAGAATCCAATTTAACGCCACCCTACGCTCACCTTCCGACACATTTTAATCCTGAGTATTGTCTACCTGCCTTGGGTGGAGTCATTATCGACGACTACCGGCGACTAGGCGCGATTATTCGACGCTCGTTATTCGTAGCGCGCGAATTGCATTCTTGTTGTCAGTTCGTCTTCGTTCCATTCGACTATGTGCATTTCCTCGCCTCATTGGATCTGGTGTTCGTTGGTTTTGAACGGGGATGGGCATACTTGAGTTATTTTATAACTCGAATTTCAACGGGGACCATTCGAATAATTTAATAATAATGAAGTCGTGGAACGCGCGTCATGAGATGAGATTCCAATGGTTAGGCTATTCAGGGATTTAATGATATTATCGTTAGATAAATGGAATTACTCCGCGCAACAATTCTAAAATTTCAAAATAAGCACTAGTATAAAGAAACATCAGAACCTATGAAACTTAATGTATCGATATAGACATCATCACATTATACGAACTTTGAATAATAAAAGCATATTGAATTTTATCATTCTCAGTTCGTATGAAATGGAATCTATGTTATTGTACTAAAAATTGCAGGACAGGCTATTACGTCAAGACCTTCTGCGAATTTCACAACTTTACTTTAAGATTGTTACACTGTTCCGACCTGAATAAACTAAACCGAGCAAATGATGTAACTTTCGAGTATGTTATACGCATTCACATGCTGAGAATATCATTACTCGATTATTATTGTTTTGTCCGAAGTAAAATCAAGCTAACAGATGGCTATCGAGGTATCGTTGAAATCGACAAATCCTGTCTAGCTGTGTATTAACTGTTTCAACCTAAAGGATGTTGGTGGTATTGTTTCGCAACACGGAATCGAAGTGCCGACTATTTTGACGCTTTATTATGAGACTCTTTGAATAATAAACAGTTTTACAGCAAAACGAAAATACCAGAGGCCAAAGGCGAACAGCGATCGTCGAAAGGAAGGAAAATAACAAGTGAATAAAGAGCACGGTGAATTAAAGCTTAAGGAACAAGGTAAATGGCGCAAACAACAAACTTCGCGGGACCGCTTTCTGAAAACAATTATCAAAGAACCTGTATTCGACGCGTCTGTTTGGTACGGTTGAAAGGAAACGCTCTTCAATCGTTGCGAGTCTGGAAATCAATTGTTTCTGAATCACGAAGTGCACACGCTGTACTTTATCGTCCAGTCCTCTCCGAAATTTCAATGGCATTCAACGTAAAGGAAAGATCAGATCTCAAGACGAGAATACGAAACTTAATAGAAACTTTCATTCAAATTTATTCAGGACATAGTATAATACATATAAAATTGCTAGGCAAGCAGCAACCTTTGATTGCTAGGTTACCACATTGAATTACTGGAAATCAATGGAATCGTACAAAAATTGATTTGTTACAGGCACTCCGCGTCTACCGTACCAATAAAACGAACAAATAAATTGCAGGCGACGGAAGGATGCCGATCTCATCCGTTTGATACCGTTTTCACTCTCTGTTGCGCGTCGCAAGAGAGCATCTGTTC